TAGATCATTTCTGTAGTCGATGCCCTGCTCGAGGGGTCGTGCCCCAGAGTCAAGACGGCGAGTGCCGAGGGCGCGGTTGCGGACGTGTTCTCCCCTCCCGCGAGGGCGTGCCCCCCCCGCGCGCGGCCCCTGAATGGGGGAGCAGTCGAGGCCGGCGGCCAGAGAGACGGGGAGAGAGTCGGGGGCTTGGCATCGCTCGGGCGGGTGCACTTTTTCGGCGAGGACGATCGTGGAGGAGGAGAAGGAGGAGGTGGAGAAGGAGGAGGAGGAGGGGAGGAGGAGGAGGAGAAGCAGGAGGAGGAGGAGGAGGACGAGGAGGAGGAGGAGGAGGGACAGAAGGAAGAAGCGGATCGAGGATCGTCTTGGCTCATCTTGGAAAACAAAAGCGCACGAAGCCGAAACGTGCACGGGGAAGGGACGTCCGAGCGATGGCAAGGAGGGGGGAGAGGTGGTTGCCGGATGCCGCGGCTTGTCCTGGGGAGCTCTCGTCGCTACGGCTGGACTCTCCTCGAGATTCTGGTCAGAGAGCACCCTGGGAGAGGTCCTGGACGGAGTAGCTGCACGGGTACCTTTGATTTCCTCAGGGAGAGAGAGAGAGAGAGAGAGAGACAGAGAGAGAGAGAGAAACAAAAAAAGAGAAAACGAGAGAAAGAGTGAGAGAGAGAGAGAGAGACATAGAGAGAGAAAGCGATATATCTATATATAGATATGTATAGAGAGACTAGCCTGGCGAAGGACCCAACCATATGTAGTTGTGAGTGACGCAGTTGTGAGTATCAACTTCGGTGGAGCTTCTGGCGGCTATGGCTGCCCCGTCGCCGCCCCGTGGCCGCCTCGTCGCCGCTCTAGAATGTACAACATGGATTGCACCGCATAGATTGACCACATAGATTGCACCGCATAGATTGCACCACATCGTGCACCACATAGCTTGCACAACATAGTTTGTACCGCATTATTCCTTGGGACCACATAGAGTGCACCAAATATATTGCACCACATGCAGTGCACCACACACACACACACATATATATATATATATATAGTACCACATCTGTCACACATTTCAGATTGCAACACGTAGACTGTACCACACATATTGTCAGAAACACCCAGCAACGCCCAGCAGCGCCCAGCAGCGGCGGCCTCTCGCGCTCCCCGCCTGGGCACAGCGGCGTCGCCGCACGGCACACGCGAGGCAGCTCGTTGATGCGCCGATACTCCGAGGAGGCTCCCTGGAGGTGCCCCGGACGTCCCCAGAGGTTCCTCGAGGTCTCCAGGGGTCTCCGCAGGGCCCCGGAGGGCCTCCGGAGGTCCCCCGGAGGCCTCCGGAGGCCTCCAGAGGGCCCCAGGAGGGGCCACGGGCCGCCGGAGGCCTCCGGAGGCCTCCGGAGGCCTCCGATGCTCCCAGGAGGCTCCCTGGAGGTCCCCTGGACGTCCCCAGAGGTTTCTGGAGGCCTCCAGGGGTCTCCGCAGGGCCTCCGGAGGGCCCCAGGAGGGGCCGCAGGGCCGCCCGGGGAGGGGGTGAGCTCGCGGCGGCCCCGCCGCGGGATCGGCGCCAGCAGCGCAGGCCAGGGGCTGCGGCGAGGCCCGTGGCACGGCGTACTCAGCATTCTCATTCTCTTCAGTCGGGCCTATCCCGCTACAGGGGATTTTCGACGAAGGATAAAAAGTATTCAAAAATAGTCGAAAAGTCCAAACATAGTATGGGGACTTTTTTATGTATACCTTTTTGGGTTTTTTTTCTCGTCGAAAATCCCCCTGTAGAGGGACAGGCCCGACTTGAGCACTCTGGTGCAGACTGCCGTGGAGGCGCTCCAGGCTGCTGTTTTCCGTTTTCCCAACACCTCTTTCTCTTCACCTGCTTGCCTTCACAGCGCCACGTCGCGCGAGGGCCATGCGGTCGCCGGCGAGCGCGCTCGCGTCCACTCGCTTACCCCCTCCCTCCTCCCTCCTCCGCCCCCTCTCCTTCTCCACGCCCGCAAGCTCTGCGATGCATCGGGTCGGACGATGTTTTCTTTCCTCTGGACTCTCTCTCTTCCTTCTCGTCTTCCCGCGTGGTCTCCCCTCGTCCTCTTCTCCTCTTCCCTCCCGGCACGCCCGCAAGCTCTGCGATGCATGGGGTCTGACAACGGAGATCTCCCTCTCGACCCTCCCTCCCTGCTCGCCCTCTCTCGTGCTCCTCCCTCGTCCTCTTGTCCGCTCTCTGGATCTTCCATCATGCACCCCTTGATGACCGCAGTCCTCCAGCCTCCGCGCAGAACACTGCCGGAAGCCGCTGAAAAAAGATCGCCAGAGACCGCCGAAGGCCACCGAGAACCGCCGAAGACTTTCGTACGACCACCGAAGACAGCACAAGGCCGATGGGCAACCAGGGGTCTATGTTCGAATGCGTACTTGGCTCTTTGCTCCTATTCGTCCCCAGGAGCCAGTGCACCACCTCGAACCGAAGGAGAAGACGCGCTCGGGCTCCTCGATGCCGTCTGACCTGTCGATCGGTCTCATCAGGACTCTAATTGCTCGTGACTGTGTTCGTGGGCGCACGGTTCACGTGGTGAGGGGCAGGAGGGGGTGAGAGGGAGGGGGAGGTGGATGGGAGGAGATAGGAGGGAGGAGGGGGAGGAGGGGGATTAGGCACGAGGGGCAGGAAGACGAGGGGGGGGATGATGATGATGGGGGAGAGAAGGACATTGATGTAAGGGCGCGATGGAGACAGGGAGAAACCGAGGGCGAGGGGGAAGGAGTGCGAGACGCATGGGCGAGCGAGTTGACAGAAGCGTTGCAGTTTTCGTCCAGGAGTTCTCAGTCCATTTTGCTTTCTAGATTTCAACGAGTATATCCATATGTACATGTAATACGTATACGTATACTATATTACATGTAGTACATACAGGTGTGCTCAGTCATCGATGTATAACCTACCATAGCCCCCCGCAGTTGCGGAAAAGGGTGAGGGGGCGGCGGGCCGCTGGCAGTCTGCGAGGCTCTGAAGATGCCTGCCGCAGGCGCCGATTTTTCATGAATTGCACAGCGAATCGGCCGCAGGCGCCGAATTTTCGTCAAAGCAGTGTGGGTGGGTCGCGGGTGGGCCGCGGGTGCTTCGCGGGTGCTTCGCGGGTGGGTCGCGGTTGGGTCGCGGGTGTGTCGCGGGTTGCGTCGCGGGTAGGCCGCGGGGCGGGTCGCGGGAGGGGCGCCGAGCGGGTCGCGGTTGGGACGACGACAACAAGCCACAACAATAAGTATAATCCGCGCCGCCGAATTCCATTCATTGCAGCCACGCACCCAGGACAGTGAATGACCGTTCGGCCCGTCCCTTTGATATATGTATAGATTTACACATACTGGATATGGAGACATATATGTGTTTACACATCGTTATGCATGTATTTATGCATATGTACATATTTATGTATACAACTACAGTCATGTATCTGGGTATGCATATGTTTGTAGGTGTACGTCTATACATGTAAGAGCAACCACACACAGGTGTATATGTGTATACCGATTTATGTGTATATGCACATGCAGCTGTATGTTGTATTTGTGTGTATATATTGGTATATACATATATATATATACACATAAATATATTTACAAGATTTTAAGGCTCGCTGCGCTTCGCCTTCTAATCTTGGCTCTTGTACCTGGCAGGCGCTTGGGCGTTGCATGTAATATCCACACTGAGCTGCGATGCTGCTAGAAGTGCCACGTATAAGTGTATTGCGGTGTCCAGGCGGGGCCCACGCGGCTCCTTGTGTGCACGGACCTGGGGGCGGCCGACAATGAGATCCCAGGTGGTTGTTGTCAGGGCTGTGGTAGTGTGTCCTGGCTGCGAGAATGCGGCATTGGAATGTCCCTCCGACTCCTCTTCTTCCTCTTCCGCTTCCTCCTCCTTCTCCGCCTCCTCCTCCTCCCCTCCTCCTCCTCCTCCTCCTCCCTCCCTCCTCCTCTTCCTCCTCCTCCTCCTGCTCCTCCTCTCCTCCTCCTCCCTCCTCCCTCCTCCTCCTCCTCCTCCTCTTCCTCCTCCGCCTCCGCCTCCTTCTCCTCCTCCTCCTCCTCCTCCTCCTCGTCCTCGTCCTCCTCCTCCTCCTCCTCCTCCTCCTCCTCCTCTCGTTGTACTCATGTCGTTTTCTTTGGATGTCTCGTGGAGCTCGCGCTGGGCGAACGGGAGCCGGCGCAGGGGGCGGCCTAAACAGCGACATTCTGACACATTGGAGAAGACATGTTCGAGGAAAACGGGCGTCAAATTTTAGTTCCCGGGCGTTCTGTGCCTCCTCCCCGTCGTCCTCGTCCGCGTCCTCTTCGTCCTCGTCGGCGTCGTCGTCGTTATCCTTGTCCTCCTCTCCCTCCTCCTCTCCCTCCTCCTCCTCGCCTCCTCCCCCGTTTTCCTGGGATTAGCGCCTTGCAACACTCCAACTGCGGAGCGTGGAAAGTGAAACAGTGGACCCTGCGGGCGCCCCACCGGGCAAAGGAAGCCACAGGAAGGTGGACATCAAATTTTGGTTCCCGGGGCCTGGACATCAAAATTCAGGCCCCAGGACCTGGGTCGAAAGGCCGGTCGCCTTGCATTGGGCAGCGCGGGTGGGGGAGGAGAAGGCCCGGAGGTTCGAGGCAATAGAATGCAGTTGCCGCGAGCAAGGGAACGTATAGACACAATTTATAGACTTGCGACGTAGCCCACGATCTGCTGATATTCCGCCTCCTTGGCGTCGTCGCGGTATCTATCAACGATGGCCTCTAGCGTGCAAGCGGGGGATGGCACGAGCTGGCGGCGCTGTTGCTTGGCGTACTTTCTGATGGTTCGAGAACGGCGGGTTCAGACATGGGGGAACTGGATGTCAGCTCGAAGTTGGTCCCCTGACGTCGCTGTGTCGCAAACGCGCAGATTCATCGAACTGCGTCTACCTGTGGCGACGAGGAAGCGCCCTGGAAGCGAATTCCTGATGTCTGAAACGGCCCCCCGCTGGATGGCGCAGGAGGCATGTTCGCAAAAGAGCCACATGTCCAGAAACGTGCAGCGCATGTTGAGAGAAGCGCACTGCTTCTTGAAGGTGCCGTTCGCCTTGGCGGCCTTCTCGAACGCAGCGATGGCCCCCATGTCCCCCCGCACCAAGCATCCTGTGCCAGCCATGTAGAAGGCCTTCCGCACGACCCATGCCCGTCTCCGCTGCACCTTGCAAGACGAGAGGATGAGGTCCATCATGATCTGCATGACGCAAAACTGCGGGGGGGCCTTCCCTCTCCCGCACGGCGGCCAAGTGCTGCAGCGAGGGGGCGGTGTAGGACACCGCCGAGGGGCCACGCGCCGCTGGCCTAGTCTCCAGTAGCTGCAGCGAGCGTGCCTTGACCACGGCACGGCGGCTGTGGTAGTCGACGCCGTTCTCGTCGAGGTCGCCGTCTGCGTCGTTGTCGGTGTCGCGCGCTTCCTGACCAACGGCAGCGGCGTCGCCAGCTGGAAGGCCGCGGCCCCAGGGCTTGTAGGCCCGCGGGCGGTCGCCGCCATGGGCCGCCAAGCCAGCGTCCAGGGCGTCGGAGAAGGCCTGCGTCTCAGTGGGCCAGCCCAAAGCCTCGAGGTTCCCATAGAAAACTCACCGGGGCAGGGTCCACGAGCAAGACGCGTCGCGCCACGTGGCACACGAGGCTGTGCCGCTCGCTCTGGGCGTAGTGTTGGGCCCCTACAAAGTGGCACCTGGAGGCCGCGTCGAAAACGCGGAAGTGGTGCTCGACCTTGTTAGCAGGGTGGACGCAGTACCGCAAGAATTCCGACGGGCCGCCCGCAGCGGCCATGCTGTTGCGGAGAGCATTGACGCCGATGTCACGGTGCGCGCCCCCTGCTTGGATCATGGTCACGCGTGCACCAGTTGCAGCGCGTCCGGCATGGGCGTCGCGTCGAGCGCGGCTTCCTCCACACGGCGCGGCGGCCAGCGGGAGAGGGCAGCAGGCGCCATGCCTTTCAGAGTCTGCTTGCGGACGTTTTGCGGCTTCAAGGGCCGCCTTGGAGCCATCGTGGGCGTCTTGGGGAGGGTGGGGCCCCAGGAAAGGCTAGGAGGAGGCTGCGGAAAAGGGTGGCGTGGGAGTTCGTGGTCCATCATGGGGGCATTTTTTTGGCTGTCGTGGACCGCGTCTGGGACTGCGTTGCGGCGGTTCTGCAATCCTTTTGGGCCGTGTCGGAGCGCGCGAAAACTGGGGATGCCAGAAAGTCGAGAAAGGATCGAAACCTAGGAAGAAACATTGGTTTTAGTCACTTTGGATCCTCCTGGCAGGCGTCCTAGCAGGCTCTAGGGCTGGTTTTCTTGGGCCGCCTTGGGGCAATCGTCGGCGTCTAGGGGAGGGTGGGGGCCCGGGAAAGGTTAGGGGGAGGCTGCGGGAGGGGCTCCTTGGATCACCAATGGGAGGGCGTGGGGCGCATATCGGGGGGGTATGTGCGGGGGGGATGCTGGTGACCTGTGGGTTTTCCCTTGTAATTTCATAGGTAGAAGGAATATATTGTATTCGGCCCATTTCGCCGCTGTGCCCTGGTTGTAGGTCAGGGGCCTCTTGGATGCCTGCGGGAATCTCTTGCGAGGCCTCTCAGAGGCCTCTTGGAGGCGGTTTAGGGGTGTTTTGGTGACCTCCCCGGGGCCTCTTTGGGTCTCCCTGATCTGCGGAGGGCTCGAATGTCGGTTCGCGTTCCTCCTTTGGAGCCCTCTTGGGGCCGTCTAGCGATGTTTTGGTGGGCCTCTTGGGGCCCTCCTATGGTGTCTTGGGGGCCGTCTTGAGCCATCTTGGGCATCTTGGAGCGCTCTCGGGCCGACTCGGGGGGGGGGGCCAGCGCAGTGCGGCCCCATCCAGGGTAGATTCGACCTCGCCGTCCCTTGGGGGCTGCGATCTGCGAAACTGCCGCCACTTTCGAGGACTGCTGGGGGTCCAGCACAGTGAGGCCCCACCCAGTTTAGATTAGACTTCGCCACCCCTGGGGGGCTGCGATCTGCGAAACTGCTGCCACTTTCGAGGGCTACTGGGGGTCCAGCACAGTGAGGCCCCACCCAGATTAGATTAGACTTCGCGACCCCTGGGGGGCTGCGATCTGCGAAACAGTCGCCACTTTCGAGGGCTACTGGGGGGGCCAGCGTAGTGGGGCCGTACCCGGATTCAGATATGGCCTTGCCACCCCGAGGAGGCACACCTCTCACACGTTTCATGGCTCCATACGGAGCTCCACCAAAGGTCCCAGTGGCGCAGTTCGCATGCGTCCTCGCCACCCACCGCGGCACTCCCATCCCGCACGTCGTGGAATGGGGCACTTCTTTTGGGTGGCGTCCAGGGCTGTTTCGGAGCGGTTCTGAGCCCCTCTTGAGGCTCTTTTGGGCGATCTCGGACCTATCTCGATGCCGCAGAAGCCCATCGGAAGCGAAGAGACGAAGCAGGCACGCATCACATAAGAACCTCACATTGTTGGGGATAGTTTTGGCCTTTCGATCGCATCCTTGGGAGGCCCCGTGACCATTTGGAGCCGTCTTGGCCCCCTTGGCCGTGCAACTGTCTCGAAGGGATTCTTGCGCATCTCGGAGGCGTCCAAGAGTGGATTCGAAGTCCACATCGGGCCCGCGAGTTGCGACGGTAATAGCTCGTGGGTCCGCATCCTCACGCGGCATTCGGGAGTCCTGGGGAGGGGACAAGGTTGAAGGGAACAGCCAGTCATCTCGCACGTCTTCTCACCCCTGGCAAGTGTGGGTCGGCGGATCTCTTCGCACCTCTTCCCTCGTCGGACTGTCCCCTTTCACCCCTCTTTTTTTATATCTCTCTCTCTCTCTTTCCTGCGCTGTATGCTTTCACATGTTCGCCTCGTCCTGTGCCGCGCGCAGCCGAGGACGGTGCAGCTGGCAGTCTCGTTCGTCAGACGGTTGCGGACGGCCCCGCTTGCTTTTGCGCCTGCCTGGTCGAAGAGGAGAGGTCAGAGTAGGGCAGGGGGGGGAGCCTTAGAGGCCGGGATGGAAGCAGAAGGGATAGCTGGGGGCAGGAAGGGAAGGGTCATGGAAGGTGCGGAGAAGGGAGGGACGAGAGCGCAGGAGCGCCCCGAATGTGCACGAGCTGCGCTCCAGCCGACGACGAAGCGCACCAGTCCAGGGTCGGGCGCTCCCTGTGGCGCGAGGGGGACAGCATGAAAGGCCACCTGTGCGACCATCGCTGGATAGCGGACCACTTTTTGGGCATCCGCAGACCCCACAGAGGTTCCAGTACTAGGTGCCACAAGAGACGAGAGCACTGAGACCGACCTCGATGTCAGTTGTTTCGATCAATGCTTCTCTGAAAATAGGAGGTGTGGGGGCATCTGCCCATCGTCTTCCCGTCGTGGACAGCAGTGGATGTGAAGTGCCGTTGCCCTCTGCCGCTGGCTCTTCATCCCACGCCTGGCCATCTCGGACTTCTCTCGCGGCCCCCCTCGTGACTCTCGGAGGGCTCTGTTGGGCCATCTTGGAGCCTCGTGAGGCCGACGCCTTTGGGCTATGCTCGACACCGGTGCGGCTCTCGTGGGGCCCCTGGGGGCCATGTTGGGGACCAGGGGGCATCATGAAACCATGTATGGCGCCTGATTTAGGCCATCTTGGGCGATGCTCGTGACATCCGTGAGTCTCCAGGCGCCACCTTGGAGCCATCTTAGTCTTGGCCAGTCTTAGAGCTATCTTGGGACCTCTTGTGGCCGCTTTACAGCATTCTTCGATATCTCCAGATGGCAAATATACGCGTCGAACAGCTTTGTTTTATTCTTGCGTGGGCGTCCCCGCAACGCAGTAGAACTCATGAAAGAGCCACGCTAAAATTGGCAACGGCTCACGACCGATTCTTTCTCACACTCTACAGCTAACCCGTGTTATAAGGATGCGCGGTAAGGATTCAAGGGCTTTGGAAGAAACTGCGGACACCTCTCGAGCGGGACGCGGCCAGCGAGAGCGGCCAAGAAGGATGGGCCGAAGCGGAAGATGCAAGGGTAGCCCGGGAAAGCGGCTCACCTTATTATGCGGGTTGACTGTACCTTGTCCCGCCCCGGAGGCCCCCAAGCTCAGGAACGGCGCTCTCTACCGAGATGCCCTTGCACTTCACTCAGGTTGGTGAGTTGCTTCTGGGCGCGTTGGTTCGCATGACGGCCATGTTGGCGCGGTGCGCAAACAGAGTGTACTGCTGCATGCTTCTCCCAGGAAGTGGTATGAAAAGACCCCCTCCAGAAGGGCGTTCGTAGGCTTAGTGGGCGTGTACAAGGGAGAGGGAGAATCACATGAAGGTCGAAACAGCTTGTCCGATCACATGCTCGCAAGAAGATCGTCGTGGATGTTGTCGTCGTTGTTCTCGCCGTCCTCGCTGTCCTCTTCCTCCTCCTCCTGCGTCCCTCCACCTCCTCCTTCTCCTCCTTCCCCTCCCTCCGCCCCCTCTCCCTCCCATCTCGTCCGCCTCCCCTCCGTCCCCCCCCGCCCCTCCGCCCCCCCTCCCTGGGCCCCCACCCTCCCTCCCCAGACCCCCGACGTCATGATTTTTTTATCACGTCGACCCCTGGAGGTCTCGACCCATTCTCCTGGACCGGTTTTTCATCCTGAGTCGTTTTTTGACGGTCCCGAGGGCAGGAAAGGGCCCCCAGAGGCCGAAAATCAAAAAAACCTCCTGTCATGATTTTTTCATTGCCCCTTCCTCCTTCCCCCCCTCCTTCCCCCCCTCGGCCTCCCTCGGCCTCCCTCCTTCCCCCCCTTGGCCTCTCTCGACCTCCCTCGACGGGTCTGGGTCCCCTCGGCCTCCCTCGGCCTCCCTCGGCCTCCCTCGGCCTCCCTCGACCTCCCTCCTTCCCCCCCTCGGCCTCCCTCCCCCCCTCCCTCCCGCCCCTCGCCAGGCGCGGGCTCCGCCTGCCGGGGAGGCCGCCCGTCCAGACCTCAGCGGCGACTGGCCTGGGGCTCAGCGGGGGGACGGAGGGGCCCTCGTCGTCCGTCGTCGTCGTCGTCCGTCGTCGTCGTCGTCGTCGTCGTCGTCGTCCGTCGTCGTCGTCGCCGCCGTCGTCGTCGTCGTCGTCGTCGCCGTCGTCGTCGTCGTCGTCGTCGTCGTCGTCGTCGTCGTCGTCCGTCGTCGTCGTCGTCGTCGTCGTCGTCGTCGCCGGCGTCGTCGTCGTCGTCGTCGTTGTCGTCGTCGTCGTCGTCGTTGTCGTCGTCGTCGTCGTCGTCGTCGTCGTCGTCGTCGTCGTCGTGTCGTCGTGCTCGGCCTCGCCATTGAGGCTGCCGCGAAGCCTCTGCCCTTCCCCACGCGGTGCAGCCGTCGACCTGCGGCTGGTCGCGGTCTGCTCCTTGCTGTTTCTGTTGCCCTCTCCTCTTTCGTCAAACGTCGCGTTGGAGAAGCCAGGCAGGGTGGAGGGATCCAGACTGATGACTTGTGATGTTCCAACCTACTTGAGCCATGATCGCCAGGAAGAATTTCGAAAACCAAGAAAGTACCGAAACTGGAGGGTTTACACGTGTCGCGCCCTGGGAGGCGATACTCGTTCGACATTGTTTCGATACTTTTTCTGGGTGCTCGAAGGTATTTCTGGGATGTGGCCCTCAAGTACGATGGGAGCAACATACATCGAGACTCTTGCGTCTTGGAACCCTCAGTGCGACCGCCGTTTCTGAATTTGGATCTTCTGGGGCTCGTGCTTTGGGTCCTGGGGATCCGCCAGGCGTCTTGATGTGCCGACCCCAATATGAAAGAGGGTCCGAGAGTTCCAGAGTCTGGTGCACTTGCACCCATCAGTACGTTGGAGCTCCAGGGGGGCAGGTCAGGGAGGAATGGGGGGAATGGAAGGAGGGATGAAAAGAAAGGTAGTGGAGATGAGGGGAGAGCGAGAGATA